CCTTGCTGCCTGAGCCAGTGGCTGGAGCGTTCTCCCGTGGCTTCCTTCACTCGGTTGTTCGAGGCTGGGCATCATTTCATGTGTCTTACTGTAGCACCTAACAGCTGGTCCTCAGATGCTGCCTCCATGAACAACCTGGACAGTAAGTGAAGTCTAGGAAATGGGCATGGTGTGGAAACTCAGGCCTGTTTGTCCTGCAGGTTGAGCACCAGACACAGCATGGGCAGGAAGGCACGGCAGAAAACAGCTGAGCGATCCCCACGCCCATATTCTACCTGGGAGAAAAAAAACGAGATACCAGATAACAGTGTTGGGGATGCCAACAGCGAAGGAGTGGGCGAAGCGTGGGTGTAATAGTGCATGATCAGGTCGCACAGACGAGGCAGGTGTGTGAGGAGTGAGCCAAGCTTCTCCAGGTGGGGCCACAGCCTGCCATGTGGTTAGAGCTGAGTCTGGCTGGCAGGATGGGTTCCTATTGGGTTTTGTAGGTCATGGCAGTGCCTTTGGCTTTTGTTCTGGGCACCTCGGAAGCCATGAGTTTCGAGTGGAGGAGTGGTGCAGCCTGACACGTTACGGCATCCTTGGTGAGGGAGGGCTGAAGGTGGGCCAGCCTGGAAGCTGGATGACCCATTAGGAGGCCAATGTGGCAGTGCAGGTGTCTCGGGTTAGAGTGAGTGACGGTGGAGGCAGAGGGAAGGAGTGGAGTGTGAATGTGTTTTGAAGGTGGTGCTAACAGGATTGGCTGGCAGGTATGAGAATAGTTCAGAGTGACTCCCAAGTTTTTTGGCCCGGGCAGCTGAAGGATGAAGTTGCTATGTCTTTAAACGTGGAAACCTGGCAGGTTTCTGCCAAAGGGCAGGACCTGGGGTGGGAGTGCTAGGCTGGGCTCGAGCGGCCTGCAGCATGTCTGGATGGTACCAGTGTTGGTGCTGTGCCCCATGTCCCTAGCCCCCAGGCAGCTGCATTGCGTTCTCGGGAATTTCTCTGTGACCAGCCCACTCCTCATCAACCAGGGCCCCCGGGCCTCCCCAGTGTTCCTTCCTGTACCCAGTGGCAGTGGGGGCTGCTTTAGTAGCTGCCTGGTAGCAACTGCTTACCTTTGGTGACAGAGATGTGAGTTTCCAACTGAGCAGCCTAGTCCACAGTGAGAAACTGAGATGTGGTGGAGAGCACCTGCACTGTGGGGTCTCAGGCTCCTGTGCTGATGGGGGCCCCTCCTCCCCATAATGGCTCTTGGTGACACCTGTCCTTCCTTCCCTGTGCAACTCTGAGGACGAAGCCTGGCTCGGGAACCGGAGACTAGGTGCCTGCTGCAATCAGAATTTCATCTGGGGTTTAGTTCTAGGCGGACGACGTGGGCTGAAGAGAGGAAGCTCAACACAGAGACCTTCGGGGTGTCAGGGAGGTTTCTGCGTGGCCGCAGTTCCCGAGGTGGATTCCGAGGAGGCAGGGGCAATGGTGCGACCCGCCGCAACCCCACTTCCCACAGAGCTGGGACTGGCAGGGTGTGAGGATGCAGCAGTAGGTGAGCAGGGGAAACTTCTGGGTGCTTTGGTGGGAGGGTGTAGGGACAGGGAGCAGGCTGGCTCTGCCTCCCAGCAAAGAGAGGCCTAAGGTGTCAAGGAATCACCCTGGGAGGCTCTTAGGCCCCAACTCAGCCAACTATACTGAAGCTTTTGGGACAGGACCTGGGTCCCAGTGTTCCGAGGGTGAGATTCCAGGTGTGGGAGGGAGAGGCCATGGTGGGAGTTTGTGGGCCAGCTGCTTGCTACTCGAGTACAGTGACTGAGATCCTGCTGCAAAGCCAGTGTCTGTCCCAGCCCAGCCTGACCAGGCCCTGCATCGGAGTCTGCACTTTGAACAAGGTCCTAGGTGACTGTGCACCTTGGGTCTGGGCCTGGCATCCCATGTGGGTGCCCAGTGCTGACTCACCCCCAGCCATATGGGACCTGTGTGCAGGGTTAGGGCCTCTTGCTACCAGCCAGCCACCTCTGTCCCCAGTGTGTTGTACAACTATGGTGCTTAGCGTGGGTTGCGGGAGGAAAGTAGGAAGCCCAGCCAGGCTCTGGGAGAATGGGCAGGGGGAGGGGCTTGAGCATTTCCTGCTCTGCAGGCAGCAGTGCCTGGCTTGCCTGCTTAGCTGCTGGACAAGGCTCTCGAGTGCATTCACTGCCCGTCTCTTCCTGCAGGCCCCTGCTCGAGTGAAACGCCGCGCGTGTATCAGGACACAAGGAAAACAGCACTTATGGGGAGAAGTGGGTCACTTTGTTTACGGAGTTTGGAAAATTCCCATCCTGCTACTTATGTTTTGGACTTAACTGAACTTGGTCTAAGTTAGAACCACTTGTTTTGGGAAAGTATTCATGGGTGACCTCTTTGAGGTGTCTTAACCTATGTTTCCTGTTTTAGTTGTGCATAGCCTAAGTAAGGTCTTGGTATTTTGCAGAAAGGTTTCTATAGCGAAAGCTTGATCCTCACTTTATTATTTTTCTTTTTATGACAGCTTTGACTTTTAAAGTGTAACCAAATCTCAGTTTGGCAAATGTGGCAGCCAAGGGCATCTCTGTAACCCAGCTGGCCCTGGTGCTGCTGGTGTGGCACCCCCACTGCCGAGGATAGGGTCTCAGGAGCAGGCAGGGCCAGCACAGGGTGGTGTGGGGCGGGTGGGCCGAGGGCAGGGCAGGGGTGTCCCATGGATCATGTTGTATAAGCAAACCAGCCTACCCTGACACGTCCGGAGTGGTGCTGTCCAGGGTGGGGGCTGTGAGGGCGGGTGGGCTGGAAGGACTTGGCGCGGCGGGAGGGACCCTGACATTAGGTGCGGAGCTGTCACACGGAGCCCGGCCTCTGTAGGCATCGAGATGGGTTAAAGCCCAGGACAAGCTCCCGTGGCATCCCGTGGCCCTTCTGGCCTGGGCCAGCCGGTCGGTGTTGGACTCTGGCCAAGCACTTGAGTGTTCTCATCCACTTGGAAATGAGCCAGTCTTTTCACAAGGTCAGTTGACCAAGAGCATACTTCCCTCCATTGTAAATAGTTGTGTTTTTGTTTTAAAGGCAGGTGGTGGGAGGGTGGGGGCTATAAATTTGTTGCATGAGTAACTAGGTCAGAACCTTAGTGTGAGCATGCGTCCTTCTGACTGACAGGGCATTCTGTTGAAAATAAGCACCTTGGTAACTAAAACCCCTTTCATAGCTATAAAGGCTTTAGTTCTGTATTGATTAAGTTACTGTAAAAGCTTGGGTTTATTTTTGTAGAACTTAATGGCTAAGAATTAGAACACAGCAGTGGGGCTGCTCTGTTGGAGTAATGTAAATTGTAATTATAAATAAACACGCAAACATTTAAAATGTTCTTCTCTGATGCCAAGAGAGTCCTGTTGACTCTGCCGCCCGAATCACCTGTGTCATGTCCAGGTCTGGAGCACACTAGTGCCAGGAGGATTTGGGGAGGCTTGGGTCCCCTCTGGCACTTGAAGTGCTGGGAGACAGGCCTGGGATCTCACCATCTGCTACCCTTCTGGGATGGGGGCGCGGTGGTCCACAAACTGGATGGAAACTAGTCAGAAGACCAGTTCACAGCCAGCCCTGTTTCTAAGCGGCCCCTTTGCCACCCTCATGCAGCTTCTAAGCTCCCTGGGAGCATTCATATTCTCAGGCCCCTGAGAACCCACTATCGGGCTGCCTCCTGGAACCACTGAAAAGCAGACTTGGCTGGTTTTACGCTAAAAACATCCCTTTCACTGTAGGGCCTTTCCAGGTAATGTTAAAAGCTGTCTCAGAGGACTGGAGGCATGTCTAGTCAGCTGTATGGCCTTTCTTCTGGGCAACTGATATCCTTGGTCAATAAAAATAAATCTTCCTTGGTATTCATGCTCAATGAAGGTAGCCACAGCCCTAACCCTAAACTAATTGACTCAGCAGTTAACTAAACAGGTCTTGCCTGCTAAAGAATCTAAATGTCAGGTCATAGTTTACCACCCGTCACCTATGACTAACCTTGCTGTTTAAAAAAAAATTTTTTTGAGACAGCTCTATTGCCCAGCCTGGAGTGCAGTGCAGCCTCAAACGATCCTCCTGCCTCAGCCTCCCAAGTAGCTGGTACTGCAGGCATGTGCCACCACACCCACTAATTTTTTTTTTTTTTTGGTAGAGACAAGGTCTCGCTTTTGTTCGGGCTGGTCTGGTCTTAAACTCAGTCTCAAGTAATCCTTTCACCTCAGCCTCCCAAAGTGCTAGGATGACAGGTGGGAGCCACCACACTGATGCTGTTAAAATTTCAAAACAGTAGTTTTGATAATTATACATTTTATGCTGAGCTTAAAATGTATCTGGGCCCCTTTACCCCTTTTAGATATTATATACCAAAAATGCAAGAGGAGCTATGGACTGAGGCAGGCAGCACAGCAGTGCAGCGGGAAGGGCTGCCTGCTGCACATCACCGGCAGGCCCTCTGCACATCACCTCAGCTCAAGCAAAGTTAAAGAGCCCGACTTAAACTTCGGCAGTGCCAGGAGCCAAAGGGCACCCTCCCGTCCAAAAAGTAGGGGAGGGAAGGGGCGGGGCTAGGAAATAGCCAGAACCAGTCTTAAGGTAGAAAACGTGACAAACATTAAGACATGATCTGTTGGAACCAGAAATATAAAACTACTTTTGAACACAGCTACTACTCTGCACAAGTTTTAGTGGAAGACTCAAACTCAGTGCTGCTTGTGTCCTCTGACCTCATGACTCAACTGGGGACTGGAACAAAGGTCTAAAAGCAAATGGAAAGTCATTCTGTCTATAATGCCAGACAGCAACTGGGGTCTCCTGATTGCCAGTTCCTTCATGGCACCCGAAGCGGCAGTGCTGACCCTTCTCGGGGGAACCCCCCCTCCAATAACTGGTATGTCGTCTTAGAACCCAGCCATGAGGAACCGCAGGGAAAGCTCGGATAGGGAAACCGAGTGGGAAAAAACTATAAAGAACTCTCATGATGACACCTAAAGACATACATTCTCTTAAAAAGGTTAAAAAATATGGAAGTTTATTGTAGGACACTCAGACAGTATGAATAGGTGATAAATGGAATGGAAATGCCTACACATCATTGAGACTCAACCATGATTGGAGTTTAAAAACTGTTAACCAGCAAGGAAATTTGATTTCATCATGATGCTTTCTTTTGTTTCTTCTTTTCGTTTTCTTCTTTTTCTTTTTCAATTTCAGCAACATATTTCTCAATTTCTTCAGGATTTAAAATCTACCAAAAAAAAAAAAAAAAGCATTTACAGTTAGCCAGCAAGCAAGCCGCACAAGGTGGCCGAGGCACTAGCACCTTCCTTTGAGAGCAGTTGCAGCATGTGGCACAGCCACTTGTACGGCCCCTGGAGACTCCAGGGAAGACGAGGTGACGTTGGCCCGCCCCAATAGCAGCAAACTTCCAGTTGTTGGGAACTATTGAGTGTGCCAAGACAACACTGCAAGTGCCATCTTTAACCGGACAGGAAAACAAATGATTCCTTTTAGAAATTAGTGGGGAACCTTGGAAAGATAACTTTTCCTCACATTAAAACCACAGAATGGCTCCATGACATCTTCCAAATGGGTAGGTACTACCTGGCCCTGAGCATGGAGAAACATCTTGGTAAAGAAAGCAGATATACTGGGCGACTGATTACCTTGAGAGGCTGATCTCTCCTCATGACGGCGAGTTCTATGTTTTTGCCACCTGACTGAACCACCTTCAAGGGGCAGAAAGAAGCGTTAGATACCTCTACCCACTCAAGACCAAAGCAGCTCTTGCAAGTACCTTAAATAAGGTATGTGCCCAAACCTGGCAGGGCCACGAGGAAGGAGGGCCCAGCACCCGAAGCCTCTGTCCTAAATGCAGTTCCACTTGTGAAGCCCCACAGGGCAGCCTCCACAGCCGCCTCTCCAATAGTGCTTGTGGCCCTCCCCTCCACATACGGCAGCTGCTTCCATGACCCCACGCCTGCTGGCCTTCTGGCCACCCCGCCCCTGGCCTCTTCGGCTTCACTTGCCAGCACTTTCAAGGTCTTGACGAGGCCTGAGACTTCACAACCCCAACCATTATCCCCATTTTTCTCTCCATTTCACGGCTCAAACCTGGCACATAGCTGACTCCAGCATCAGGCGCTACTGTTGCACCCACTTTTCTTGTTGCTCACCCATCAGTCATCACCTGTGTGGTGCCTCTACCACCTTGTGAATGTGGAAGTGCACTTACCTCCAGGAGCGCCTTGATCACCAGCTTGATGGTCAGATCATCTGTTTCAATGGCTTCATCCGTATAGTTCTTCTCTAGGAACTCGCGCACTGACTTGGCACCCCGGCCTATGGCATTGGCCTGAAACAGACACGTGTTCTACATGGCACAGGGTGCAGCAACCCAGAGCCAGTTCAAGAACATGGCCTGCCCGTGGGCTAACCAGCCTCGGCCTGCCCCATTCCCCAGGCCCTGGCTCCCTTGGCTCCCTTTGCAAAGAAGCATTTAGAGTTGGTGCTCATTCTTACCAAGACTGAGATTATACTTTTTATTTCATTATCAAGACACACGCAAGATGTTGGTTTGTATCTTTATACTTTGCTGCCCTTTGATTTTCTCTCAAATGGCAATGTTTAATGATGGTTTTTTTGCTCTACTGTCAGAGTGTCATGGGACAAACGTGCACATAGGACTAGGTTAATTTGATGTGTCACCTGTTTACTGATGTGGGCCCTACAGCAGGAGGCCCAGAACTTCTCAACGGCCTCTAACGCCTCTCTTTCTGGTAAGACTGCCCGAAGCCCCTTTGTTTCCTCATGACTCACCTTCCAGGCATGGTATGTGCCCGAGGGGTCAGTCTGATAGAGTCTGGGGGTGCCATCAAAGTCGAAACCCACAATGAGGGCCGAGATACCAAACGGCCTGCGCCCATTGCTCTGTGTGTAACGCTGGCAGGAAAACAAACAGATCAGTGCTGTCAGCCGTAAGAAAATACATGTGATGAAACTGTACTTACTGAAGATCGCCAAGCCCACTCTCAGGTTATTGGCAGTTCGAATCGAATGATAAATAAAATTAGCCAATAGCTTTCAATACCCTTTTCCTTTCTGCATTTTCACTCCTACAAGACTTGCCTAGACTTGCACCATGAAACACACCTCAGGCCACTAGCAATTATTTTGACGGGGAGACATGCATTCTGGCTACACGCTGGTTTTAAAGATTAATGGCGTTTCACCATAGAGCATGGATGGCTGTCAGCCCCCTCCAGACTGCTTGGTGACTGACTGGACATTTAGAATGGCAAGACACAAACTATCATTTCCCTCCCAACACGTGAATTTAGACCAACCCATGTCAGGCAATGAGAACAGTGTACTGAAATTGATAAACCCCATAAAGTTACGTGTACAAGATTAGGACTATGCCATGGAAAGGATGCAGTTTTCCGATTCCCCTAAGGTGACAGACGACACAAACATTCACATGAAGTAATGTGGCAGGACACTTTTCAAGGTAAAGCAGTGACTGCTCCACAGCCAGAGGTGAGCGTGTGGCTGGGCAGGCGCCCCACCTGCTTCAGACTGGCGATGTAGCGGGTGATGTACTCCACAGTGACCGGGTCCTCCACCGTCAGGCGGTGGCTCTGGCACTCCACCCGGGCCCTGTTGATGACTATCCTCGCATCGGCGGTGAGGCCTGCAACACAAGCAGAGGCTTCTGCGGGAGCCACACCTCACGGTCCTGACCAGGGACAGCATTAACCTTTGGCAGATTCCAAAACAGTCCTTTGAACCCCGGCATGGGTTATTCTGAGTGCCGAAGTGGAACCAGCCAGCCTCGGGAACTTCTCCAAGGAAACTGGGTACCAGTGCCCCCTGACTTAACAATAGGGTTATGTCCCAATAAGCCCATTGTGAAGCTGAAAATACCGTCAGCTGAAAATGCACTGAACCCCTCTGATAAGCCCTTATTTTTGACAGCATAAAGTAAAAAAATTGCAGGTCAAACCATCCTCAGTCAGGGACCATCTATATATGAAGAACTGTGCATCGGGTCATGTTTAAACACAGAAGCCAAGTCTTCTTGGGAAGCGTTAAATCAATCCCTAATTTTGCTTATGTGAACTGAGATCTTCCTACGTTGGATTTGCTGAGGGAGAGAGGAAATGAGTGAGACCACACGGTGCTGAGAATGTTCAAGGCCTGGCCTGCGTTCCACGAATGCTGCCCTGGCTGCTGGTGGGAGGGCAGGACACGTCACAGGCACCAAGTTAGCTCTAGGAAGCCTGACCTTGCTCTAGAACTTAACTGACAATACAGAAAAATAACGGTGGAGAGAAACTGCACAGTGGCCAGGGAGTGTTTTCTTTCATTTAGCCATTTGTGTTTCAAGGAAACTGGCCAACCCTGTTCTTAAAGTCCAAATCCATTTCTTTTAAGTGATTTTTGTTTATCCAGTTTCCACGTCTCACAGCAGCCTACCCACCCCAGGTCACCTCCGAGCTCTGTTCTTGGCGAGACTCTGGGGAGCAAGGCGCTGTCCTGACACGTACCTGCGAAGGCCATGCAGACATTGTCATCCAAAGCACAGATCTTCCGCACTGTTCTTTCATCCTGCAGTTTGGCCACCGACTTTTTCTCCACACCAAGAACAACAATGTCTCTTCCTCGAACTCCAACCTTCAATAAAGATCCACAAACCACACGAGAAAGTGACGTGAGGGTCTGCACCAGGCTCAGAGCATCAGGAGCAGGTGCGCACTTGGGTCCTGGGCATACACAGTGGGCAGCTGCCCCGAGGGAAAGTGTACTCTCCCACACCCTTCCTCCTCCACGTACCTGTCACTGGTTGGCGCCATACTGGCAAGCCACTCCGGGTAGAGCCCAGACCTAGGTGCCCAATCCTGTGCCTTTAAAAGGCTGACACGTAGTCTCAGTTACGACACAGTAAGTAACCACCGCGTAACCAGTGTGTGTTTCACTTCAACCCACTAATCACACAGTCCTATGCAAAGCCTTGGAGCCTGAGACTTCACGGTTAAGTCCAGCATCCTCAGGCCAGTGTTTCTCTGGTTTGAAGTTATACGAAGGTCCACTCTGCTCTTTCTTGCACTGTGGCAAACCAAAGTGCGCCACTGTGAGGAAGGGCCTGACATGCTCTCAGTGGACATCGGTATCAATTGTTACAGGAAGGGCAATGGCTCCATTCACAGCTGGTACTGTAGAGAGGGATGGAGGGATGTAGCTGTTACTAAAAACGTGGACAGTCACTGACAGTTAACCTTCTCAAGCCAGAAGCAGAAACAAAAGTAACAGACCCTCTTGGTTTACAGCTGTGGTCCCCAACCCCCAGGCGCGGACCTGTACTGGTAGAACTGGAAGGAGGTGAGCAGCAGGCCAGTGAGTGAAGCTTCATCGGTATCTATGGGGCTCCCCACTGCTTGCTGATATCACCGCCTGAGCTCCGCCCCTGTCAGATCAGGGTAGCATTAGATTCTCACAGGAGTGAACCCTGCTGTAAACTGCACATGCGAGGAGTCTAGGTTGTGGCTCCTTACACCTGATGATCTAATGCCTGATGATCTGAGCTGGAGCTGAGGCGGTGATGCTAGTGCTGGGGAGCAGTTGCAACTACAGATTATCATTAGCAGAGAGGTTTGACTGCACAGTAAATGTAATGTGCTTGACTCATCCCCAAACCATCCCCATCCATGGAAAAATTGTCTTCCATGAAACTGGTCCCTAGTGAGGTTGGGAACCGCTGGTTTAGAACGATGCTTCCCACCCTCAGCACTATAAGCAGCTGGGCCAGCTCATTCTTTGACGTGGCTGCTGTCCTGAGCACGGAGGGCTATTGGGCAGCATCCCCCCTACCCTCTAGACACCAGGAGCACCTCTGCAAGGTCTCCACACATCGCCAGTGCCCATGGGGTGGCAAAAGCACCCCTGGCTGAGAAGCGCTGGTCTGGAGCATGCTTCCATTCCCGGGGAGCTTTCTCATGCACGGATGCAGGTGACATTCAGACTGACCCCAGGGGCCAGAAAAGCTAGATGGGTGCAGCAAAGCCAGCTGTAGCTGGCTGGCCTGGGTGGTAGCATTGAGGGGGTGGGAGTGTCAGTGACTCCTCTTCCAGTGCTCTTTAAGCTTAGTTAGGTCACCACATAGATTTTGGGCCTTAATTTCAAAGCAAAGATTCAGGAAATAAAAACAGTTCAAGATTTACAGAACTGTGTGTGCTATTTTCTCTTTGCCCACTCAAATCTCTGAAGTACCAGGTGATAAAAACTGTATTATACAGTTTGACCAGTAATATGGACAGATGTCTTTAAGATAGCATAAATTTAAATTTCAAACAGTGTTGTGAAGGTCGCCCTAGTCAAAATGAGAGGTACAAGCTCAGACAAGGACTGACCATGGGTAGCTCACATTCGGCTCATCAGGGGAGGGTTCCTTCCAGCTGAGCAGTCAGACCAGGGGCAGCTTGTCATTAGCTCAAGGCCAATCCTTTGTTCTCAAAGGCCACCTGGGCTCAGCGGACAGCTGCTTTCCCTGGGGTGGGGGAGTCTCCCTAAATGGGCGCGTTTGGGTATCAGCCCCAGTGGCCGCCAGGCTTGCGTAACATTCGCCAGGCGAGCGCACTACCCTGGCTCCACTCGGGACGCTCACCGGCACAGCCCGCACCCCGGTCTCCCCGCCGCGCTAAGGTGACCCGTCAAGATGGCCGTCGCCACGGCCACCTGCTAGCTGTCCCCGGAGCACCTCGCTACGAGATGCTGAGTAAGAAAACAGGGTCTTTGGAGCTCACACGACAAATTCCGTTTTCTAAAGCACCTGTCAAAAATCACTGCCAAGCAGCTGCCAAAATCAAGGTAGAATCCACTGAGAGCAAGCTCCGACTGTGCTGTCCGGGCCTGCTCTTCCTTGAGCTCCCTTTCCTACCTCGCTAGCGACACCGACGTCGTTCCTCCCGCGTCCCCAGGGCCGCCGCGCCAGTTCCGAAGGCCCACCGCACAGCAAGCAGCGCCGTCAGCGCAGCGGCCGCCGGAGCTCCCCGGCCCGGCCTCAGCCTCCCCGGCCCCGCGCCCTGCAGGGCCCCTCCCGCAGCCCTCTCCTCCGAGAACCCGCCGGGCCCCAGCGCTCTCCCCGGGCCTCCCCGTGCTCCCCGGACCCCGCGCCCTGCAGAGCCCCTCCCGCAGCCCTCTCCTCCGGAACCCGCCGGGCCCCAGCGCTCTCCCCGGGCCTCCCCGTGCTCCACGGACCCCGCGCCCTGCAGGGCCCCTCCCGCAGCCCTCTCCTCCGGACCCCGCCGGGCCCCAGCGCTCTCCCCGGGCCTCCCCGTGCTCCACGGACCCCGCGCCCTGCAGGGCCCCTCCCGCAGCCCTCTCCTCCGGAACCCGCCGGGCCCCAGCGCTCTCCCCGGGCCTCCCCGTGCTCCCCGGACCCCCGCGCGCCGCAGCGCTCTCCCCGGGCTCCCCCGCAGCGTCCTCCCCGGACGCCCCGCGGCGGCCCCGGCCCCACTTCCGCCCGCACCCCCGGCCGCGCAGGCCCCGGCCCGGCCCTGGCGCCTCACCGCGGTCGAGCCCTTCTTGACGGCTTCCTGCGCGTACTCCACCTGGAAGAGGTGGCCGTCGGGCGAGAAGACGGTGATGGCGCGGTCGTAGCTCATGCCGGCGGGGCGGGGGCTGCGCGGCCGGGCAGGGACGCTGTCGCCGCCGCCGCCACCTCAAAAGCGCACACTCACGGCCGGCGCGCCGCGCTCCCGGCGTCCCCTGCGCGGCTGACGTCGGCGGCGCCGGGCGGGCGTGCGGGCGCGCGGGCGGGCCGGCCGCACCATCGGCGGCCGGCTCGGGGGGCGGCGCGGCCGCGGGCAGCCGCGCTCGGACGCCGGCGGTCGCCGCGGGGCGCGGCGCGGGCCGGGCAGCGGGAGGCGGGCCGGAGCGGGCCGCGGCCGGCGGCCGGGCAGCGCGGCGGCGACGGCGGGCGGGCGAGCCACTGCGCGGCGGCCCCGCGCGCTCCGCCGCCCCCCGCGACTGCGGAGAATGGGCACCGCGGGCCGCCGAGCGCCGCCGGAGAGCGCACCCCGGTGATCCGGGCTGAGCCCCGCGCCGCCAGCATGTCCGTGGCCTTCGCGACCGCGCGGCCGAGAGGCAAGGGGGAGGTCACGCAGCAAACCATCCAGAAGGTGCGCTGCGGCCCGGGCGGCCGGGCGGGGGCGCTGGGCCGAGCGCGGCGGCCGGCGGAGCGGGGCGCGAACAAAGCCGGGGTGCAGCGGGCGGCGGGTCCCGCGGCGGCCCGCACCGCCCCGCGCCGCCGCCCGGCCGTGTCGGGCGCTGCCTGAGAGCCTGCGCCAACGCGGCGGCGCGCGTGCCGGGCCGGCGGGCGCACTGGGACCCCGCCCCTCGGGCCGGGCGTGGGCGGGCGAGGGCGCGGCCGGCCTCGGGCGCGGGCGGCGGGACTGGCCCGGGGCGCGCGGCGCCCGACTGCGCCGAGGCACAAAGGGGCCGCCCGGCGCGCGAGTGCCGGCCCAGCCCAGCCGCCGGCGGGCGCGGGACGCGGGACCTGCTGGTCCGCGCGCCGGGGCCGTGCGGGGCCGCTGTGGGCCGCCCGGGCCGCACGCTCGCGGCCTGCGGCTCTCTGCGGACGTCGTTACCCTAGCCAGGGCTTAAGTTTTGAGGCGGAGACTTCGTTTTGTGCAGTTTTCCTTTAGAAAGCGCATCCAGGAGAAAACCGCTGTAGCCATTCCCGCGTGCGTTTTCTCGGCGTCTTTGGCGGCTACGTGGATTCTTCTCGAAACTGAGCCTGTCTTCACTCTGGCGGGATCCCGGGATCGCCCGCAGTGTTCTCGGTGGCCCGGAGCCTCTTGCGTCCCCGAGGGGATTCGCCTCGGCCCCCAGGCCCTTACGGCTGGATAGTGTGCATGTCTCTGTGGGGTTGTCCTGCGTCTCTTCCGTTTCGAGACTGCTCTTGCTGTCACCAGCTTTAGACATTTAACGGTTTTAGCAGATGAGCCCCGCTAACCCCGTACAGGAAAGGGGTTGAGAAACAACAGAAATACAGATTTAAAAGTGTGGCATTTTTATTTACTTAGTAAACTCTTACGTTGTGCTTACTGTATTCCAGGCACTGTTCTAAGGGCTTTACAAATCCTGACTCGTTTCGTTCTTCATGGACATTACCGTCAGCCCATTTTATAGCTAAGGAAACTGAGGCACAGGGAGGCTACATGCCTTGCTGGCAAGCCCTGGAGCCGGTTGTGGAACCCAGACAGTCAGGTCAGGCCTCACTCCATCCCTGCCCTGGATCTGGGACCTGGGCGGGAGGTCACAGCTAGGCTCAGCCGCACACGGTGGAGATCCAGAGTGTCTCCTGGCACCCTAGTGTTTGGAGCTTAACAGTCACGGTTCCTGAGGCCACCTTCATCCAGTCATTCGCACTTGGCACCCCCTCCCCATTCTTGCTCCCCAAATTCTCCAGGCAAAAAAATGCGTGTTGAAGTGCTGCCCCAAATGTCAGGTCAGAAAGGAGACCCACCTGGGGACTGTGCCTCCCGGGGCAGGAAGTCAGCCCCCAGCGTTGAGAATGGGCCTTCCGTGTGGGCTGCCAGCTGGCTTGACCTGGTAGGGCAGGCAGTTCATACACTGGCCATGGCGTTTTGACAGTGAATATATGCACCCAGGGGTCTGTTACCGGGGGTCCGAGAAGGGTGTGTGAGGTGTGTGTTCTATGTTTAAAACAAAGCATGTGCTAACAGGCTCATGCTGAGCATTAAGAAAAGACAGGGGCTCCTCAGATTCTTACCTGATAGTGGAAGGAGGAGAAAATATACAGCTTGTCCTTAGAGGATATCTGTGGAGAGGATTCTGCAGGTCAACTCCTACTCAACCTTCAAAACCCCACTCAAATGTCTCCTCCCTCATGCTTCCATCACAATCATATGCCAGCGTAGCACTTTGATGCATTGCTTGGGCCCCCGGAGTTAGCACGTGGCCAACTTATTCTTTGCTGATTCCCAGCCTGGCACGGTGCCCAGGCACAGTGCATGCTCGGTAGGCACTGGAACATCTGTGACACTGGTGCTGTCAGTAGAAGTGTTTGGGACAAGCAGATATATTAGTGTCTGTGACTGTACTCACAAGTGGTTACAACCAAGGTGGCTTAAAACAACAGGCATTTATTCTCTCCCAGTTTGGAGGCCAGGAGTCCAAAATCAAGGTGTCAGTAGGTTGGTTCTTTCTCGAGGCTCTAAGGGGGAAGGTCTGCCCCAGCGTCTCCTCTTAGGTCCTAGCGGCTGCCGGCGGCCCTCGGTGTCCCGTGGCCTGTGGGCGTGTGGCTCCAGTGTCTGCTTTCTTCTTCACACGCTGTCCTCCGTCTAGTGGGACCTCCTCTTTACTTGACTACATTTGCAAACAAGGTCACCTTCAGGGATGGGGTTGGGACACAGCAGTGGGTGTGTGGCGGAGGGTAGCCCAGAGAGGGAGAGCCGTGGACCAGAGGTAAGGGGGGGTCAGGACGCTGGGGTGGTCATGGGTGGTCCCAAGCATGGCCTGCAGGGGTGGGGGCACCCAAAGAGGAAGGGCAAGTAGGGTGTGCTCTGGGGAGGCCTAGCCATGGTGACCAGGCAGCGGTGTGTGGGTGAGACACAGCCATGCAGCGGCGAGAGCCACAGGGGACGTGATTATGTGAGGGACCCTGGGGGAGGGCCGGGCTGTGTCCTGCAGGCTCCGGTTGCACCTGTGCCTGGCTGGCCGGAGGACCAAGCCCGCCCTGCTCTGCACTGGCCGTGCTGCGGCGGTCCCACTGTCCAGTGCTGTGCACCTGACACCACTGGTGGTGGTGGGGTTGTGGTGGTTGCTGTGGGCTGCGTGGCCCACCTTGGGTACGTTGGAGGTGACCCCCGAGTGCTGGGTCTCTGCTGGTGACCACCTGCCACCTTGCTGCCTGGCACATAGTAATTGCTCAATAAATGTGTTCTCGTTACTGTTGGTATTGGCTTCTTACTGGTTTCCTTAAGTGGAGGACGGACGGGAGTGGTGTCTGTCCATCTGCTGGGTGTCTATCCCCGGCACCTGTAGTGGGCAGAGTTGGGAGGCGATGAGGGAAACCGTACGAGCTGAGAGAGGAGGCAGGCCCCGGACTGGCAAGGGTGGCTGCCATGCCCAGGGTTTGAGAGCCAGGAAGTGGTCAAAAGTAGACCAGCCCTGTCCCAGTTACCTTGGTGCCCAGGTGCAGGGGTAGGGAGTAGGGGTAAGGGATGGCCTTGGGTAAATGGGGTGCTGCCGGGCAGGGGGTGGGCTACAGAGGAGGGGCTGTGGGCTCTGGCAGGCAGTGGGTGTCCTGTGCACCCTCAGACCTGGAACTTCCTGTCTTAGAGATCACGGGCTGGTTTGGTTAAGAAGGTAACTTGGCCAGTTATAAAATTAGAGCTGTCCCTACAACCACAAATGGCTTGGAGACTCCGAGTTCCCATAACGTGGCTAATTGATAGCTTTTAGGCAGTTGTTACTGAAAGTGCCTCCTTCCCGTGAGCAGGACCCCCCCCCTCCGGGAAGCAGACAGGCTTGTCTTTTTATCCCCTAGCTCTGGTCCTTGGGTTCAGCTAGTGGGAAGGGACCCAGAGCCGCAGGGGGACCCATCTTTGCTGTCTTCTGTCGGATCGGGGAGCTGCTCCCCCAGGCCCTGCCACCTGAACACTGCAGGACGTGGCGGGGGAGGGGGAAGAGGAAGGGAGTCATCTGGGAGGGAACAGCCACAGCCAGGCCTCTGTCCCCTCTGCCTAGTGAAGCCTGGCAGTGAGCCCTCCTGCTGGGAGCGCCCAGAGAAGGGGTTCTCCCAGCCTGCTGTCCGGGCCCTGGGAGCCCCTCAGGCTGGAGGGCGAGGATGCGTTTGCATCGCGATGCAATGCCCCCCACCCTGCTTCCCTTCACCCCTCTCCTCTACAAGGCTGGTGGTCTCCAGCAGTCGCTGTCTTCTATCCACAAGCTGTGTGTGGAGTCTGGCAAAGGTGGTGCTTACCTGGCGGTCCCCTCGGTGGTCTCCTCATGGCTCCGGCCCTCTGGCCCCTAGGCTGTTGGCTGGGCCAGTGGGTCAGGGCCCTGGCACCTGCCCATGTGCTTGGAGTCAGAGGGCAGGTTCCCTGGATTCCTTGGGCTGCAGGTGATAGAGATGGGACAGGGGATGCGCGAATACAGCACAGACGTCGCCACCATGGGCCCTGGGCGCCTCGCAGTTAGCAGGCAGGTGCTGGAGTCCTGGGGGGCCTGGGAGCAGGTGGCGCAGGTCCGCGCTGCCCGGGCCGTGGCGTGCTCCTCTGCTGCATGCCCTGCCGTGTGAGTGCAGGAGGGGTTGGAGCAGGTGCCATGCAGGTGGTGGAAAGGTCACTTCCGTGATGCTGGTCTGGTTCCCCTCGGCCGCCATGCAGTCCCCGTGCAGCCAGGGGAGTGGAGGCGGCCTGTTCATGTGTCTCTCCAAGTTGGAAATCGGTGCAAGTGGCGGGATGGGCTGGGGCAGGCTTTCTGGGCTATTCCATGGATGGTAATTCACGCTTAGTTTGCCTGTGCCTTGGTTTCCTTGCTTGTGCATGAAGACAGTGGCGCGGCCTCCCCATAGGCTGTGTTTGTGGCTGAGACGACAACCCGGCACAGTGTTGTAATCGACTGTCTTTGCCTCTGATCGGGCACTTGACCAGCAGGGGACAGGCATTTAGACCGGGAGGCGAGGGCTCCTTTCCACGCTGCAGGGAAGTGTGGCAAGGCCAGGGCCACGGAGACAAGGACAGGGGGCTTCTGCCCCTGGGTGAGATGTGTCCAAACAGTGTGTG